CGCTTGAGCCCTCATAACGACCTATAGATTATCATACCGCCAATGACTGCTTTTATCACTGCTTTCAATGATATTTTTTGAACTTTATTCCTACTCGACACCTTTGCCTCTTCGGGCAAAATAATTTCGCTGTATTCGCCAGTTCGCATTGCAAGAAGTTCGGCAGTCTTAATTCCCATACTTACATCATGGCATTTTAGCATACTCCTGCACTTTCTACTTCAGCTTTGCAATGCGTTAAGGAAATGCGTACTCTTAATGGATGATGGAGATGGTCATCAAAGTCCTGATATCTTGGTACTCTGAGTGCTTGGAATTCTTTTTTCCCTTTCCCATGACTGATAGCTGGGTGGAATGATATACTAGTAATTGGAAGGGTGAGGGGATGAATTGACACGTGTGTGATTTGACGATTTGGGCGGTTAAGTGGCCAGGCGATCAGGCAAGTGAAAGAGCTGTGAAATGAAAGATTGCTCCAATGGGTGGGGAGAAGGTGGATGAAGTAGTTGGCTGCATAAACAATGATATGAATGCGTGGTTGGATGAATTATTAATTTGGGAAACAATTGTTATTTGCATAACCAGTTTGGCTGACTTCGGGATACTGAAAATAGTTTGGTTTAATACATGGGCTGATTTGAACAATGTCTGATCACTCTAACCCGCTGCTGTTCTCTGACTTCCCTTCTCACAGAAGACGAGGCTTGTCTCATGGCGCTCAAATCGGTGGGTGATAAATTGCGCTCCGCCGATGCCATGCCTCCCACTCACCCTCTCTATCCAGAGGTCTCCAAAATCTGCGAGGAACGAATGAACATCCTCCGTGGCGGGTTTCCCTCTTCGGAGGGGGAGGCTGGTAGTGTCAACAACGGCTGGACGATCCTTGCTAGGCAGGGAGAGATGACCATCTATAATCGTGAGGTCGAATCTGCTGATGGCACCTATTTGGACCCACTTCAGGTACTCTACCGCTTCTCTCAAGACTTTCAATGTACGCTGGCGAAGCCGAGAGCCATCGAATTGTGCTAGTCTGCATGACAAAACGCACTAAACTGTGTCAAAGTTACACTTTAAACGTCACTGTCAAGCGCTCTCAGATATCGATCGGAGTCCGCTATACAGCCCTCGAAAATTACACTCCTCCCGTGCGTTCCAGTCGGTCGCCATGGCAGAGGATAATAATGGTGCACGTATGCTCGTCATGCAGCTGTTCAGTTGGTCGGACTAGGTCCTTTTGTCGCAACATTGTCCCAGCAGATGGCTGAACGGTCATATAAGTGGAAAAATTGGAATATTTTCTGGGACATTAGGCTGGAGGAAGAGTTTAGTGTGTTTGCTGTGGGCGGATGATTTCTGAAACGAAGAATAGATCAATGATGAATGAATGTAAGAAGAGGTTTGGATCATCAGATTGACAAAGGAATATTGGAATAGATATGATGTGTTCCTCCAATCGTCCACGTATTGCAGCGATTCCTCTGTTGGAAACGGTTATCATCTGTGGCGGAGAAAGAGGCTAGGATGACAGAAAATGCTCTGCATCCCTTCCTGTGTGCATGGATGCATGACCAAGCTGGGGACTGAGTTGATAGTTGAGAGGTAAGTGGATTGCTGATTGCATGAGAAAAGGATGGGACTGGCCTATTGGACGCTCCCTAATTAACCGTACGGATCCGCGAAAAGTTGGATGGTTTTGTGGATGGAACTTCACATTAGTGGGTAAATGATTGGATGGAGGATGGCTATAGGGTAGGACCGAAGGATGCTCGCGTTGGTAGGTCTAGACAATGGGGTGTAAAACCTAGACAGAATAATGGCATGGTTGGGGAGAACTTTGGCGTTATCGATGTATATTTTCTTGCCGTTTAACCAATCTTTTCATTGCTGCTCTTCAGGCCGTCCACAAGGTGTCCAAAGTCACTGCACGTGAGATGTGCGAGGCCTTCTGGGACGTTCAATATCGTCTAGACTGGGAAATAACAGTTGATCAAGCGCCTACGGTAATAGAAGTCTGTGGTGATGACACCGTCCTCCAATACCAAGTTAGTTTTTTTTGGCATTTAAGATGAAAAGTTCGCCTCGGGTTGTTTACTTGCCAGCACTATTTTTACCATCTCACTTACCTGAACGAGTAAAAGTTGAGATGAAGCTTTCGTTTTTGGTACACAATTCTACCAGCCAATTTGTGCCACCTAAGCTCACATCTCCGTTGGCGGAGTAGTTGTTCGACCGTGGCAGAAGAATGAGTTGCATTCTATCATAAACTTTTGTCGAATTTCCCTCGATCACTGTATGAATGCTCTTCCCCCTTCTTGGGAGTCCTGTATCATTGAGTTACGTTGGGTGCAGGCCATGTTACCAGCATACAAAATTGCGGAGAGTGAAGCAACGGTCTTAAACTTAGAGCATAACAATGAGCTAATAGGATCATAAAAGACCGTAGACGGCCTGAGGGCACTTGATGGGTGTGCCCATGGCCTCTAGTTTGCATCACAGATGGGCTTCTGTACATAAAGATAATAATGACTTTGAACAAACGGTGCCTTCACTTTCATCCTCCTACTTTCTGTGAGATCATAAAAATCCATGCTTTTATTGTATTCATGGCGCGACTTTAGCGGTCACCACTATTTTTCATCAAGAGCTTTTCATGGAGGCCTTAGCTATTCTCTCTTAGGTCATGCCTT